ATATGTATATGTAGTCCAAGACCAATAATTATAAGCATGAATAACAAATATATGGACAAAAAAGGTTGAAGAAAAAATAACGATAAAGTGGAATATCAATTGTTCAGTGTCGCCTTTTCAGGATTACACTCATTGGCAAGGAAAATATGCCTTAGAGCCTTGATGCGACACTGAAGCGCCCGCAAAGCGAGGCGAAGCGCTCAACATGTTTGGAGCCTCGCTTTAGGGCTTAAGCGCGCCTTTGACAACACTAGAAACATAGGCTGATCCCGGCTTTAAGCTCTATGAGTTCAATCTTTCAGGTTCTTAGCATTGACCCATTATATTTTTAATGTTATGGGTTTGAGATTTTTCAAAAAGTTAAATCTTCTAGCTATTAATGTTAGTGTTGTTCTTGTTTCTTGGGTTTTAATGGGCTATAAATTAGCATTAATGCTTCTTTTTGAGTAATATTTTGCATGCAGAGTGCTTTTTGTCCATACTTGTATTATGTAAGTTGTGCATGCTGATTGAAAGAAGCAACTTAAACTATTCATCAGTGGATTTCTTTTTTTAATTGACAACTATTATGGAGTTATTGATTGCAAGTTGCAGCAGTACATTTCTAGTCTAGTCAACATTGTTCTATTCTTCACAGTACGTCGAATGGAATTTGAAGAGGACAGGAAATGAGGGGTTCTATTGCTGCAGCATATGTCTGAAAATGGACATGTTATGTGGAAAAAAAGAGCACTATTTTCTTTGTTGGATTAGATTTTGAAGGAAAGTTAACCGCGCTATTAGTTGTGTACATTATGAAGTTCCTGTTTGGCATGGTTGTTTAATTTGGCATTATTTGTATCTGGTGTTTGCAATTGTTTTATTCATTATTGTGCAGCGAGTTATTAGGCCACAAGGAGATATTAACAAGCTACTTCAATGGTTACCTGTTTCTCTCCACAAAAAGTTAGAAAATGTCAGAAAGTTGATTTCTAAAGATTCACTACCGACTCAAATTGCAGGTAGTGGACAGAGATTGATGCCTCTTCCTGCTGAAAGACAGGGTACTATGGGCTTCTTCAAGTTCACTCATACTTAAAGCAATGGTAATATTATATGTCAACTGTTTGTGCTTTGCTGGTGTTGATGCAGTTGTTTCAGATATCCCAGAAGCTGATGCAAAACATATTGCAACACTGGCCTGTGAAGCATTTGCCAAGTATGTATTGTTATAATATATATTTGCTTGCTTTCAAATGCATTCTGTGATCCATATGATGTGTTTCAAGCTATTGGTCTGAGCAGTATCTGAGCAATGAACTGATCAGAAAAGAGTGGATTTAATTTTTTCCCTAGCGACCACATTACTAGCTCCTTTGCTCATTGTTTTAAAAGCGAAAAGCGCTTAAAAATGACAAAGTTTATGTGACTTGAAGCAAAAAGCGAGAAGCGAAGTGCAGCGGACGCTTCTTTGAAGTGAAGCGCACAATTTTCTGATACTTAAAAAATTCCAAACGTACATGAACATAGTACTTTTATAATCACTTTATAACTAAAATAACTAGTTTAGCATCCAATATTCTACAATGCTGACATGAATTCAACTCGTCAAAGTTGAGATATAAAGAACCAACTGCTTCTCGTTTGGATTACAATGCGCCTCATCATTTGAAGTTCATGCTTCGCTGTAACACACAGTTTCATCATGGTGGGACTCCACACTTCGCATTGCTTCATCACTTTAGGCGATGAAGCAATGATTTCTTAAAAACACTGCATTTGCTAATAGCAGCTAAGCACTATAATTTGGCCTTCTGTTTGTGAAACACACCGATATGTATATGGGCACCTGGTTTAAGCACTTATCCTGTTGCTTGATCATTTCTATTTTCTTGTTGAATGTCATTGTTGTTTTGAAAATGTAATGAAAATTTTATTAGAGAATAGCACCCGGAAAGTGCTATGAAGTTGTTGAACTTCATTATTGAGGATAGGTGTGTGGCTGTTGTCATCCTAAATCCTACAGAATCGGAAGCTGAACATAGATTGGGCTTTTAGTTCGCGTAAATTGAATTCGCTATGGACAATGATTTGGAGGAAAAAGTTGAGGAGCAGGACAGATTTGCTGCTGATGTACAGTGATGTGAACATTTTTTTGGGGATTCTTGGAAATTCTTTTCATCTTAAGCTTGAACATAATGAATATTTTTGTTGGACTTGAACCCTTGAGCTTTCTAAATAATCGAAGTAATCTGCTTAATAATAGAGTTTTTTTCCGGGGTAAGTCTGACTTGATAATAGAGTTGAAGGCTCAGAATTGGTACGTACCCTGATATACATACTCAGCGAGAGAAAGAGAAAACTCTCGTTAGATATTGCACTTCTCTTATTACATATCCCCACTTGTCCTAAACTTCAGGAATAGAACTAAAAAGGGGAAGAGGAAAAACTGAAGTATTCCTTAAGGATCTTTAAGCATCACCTTGATTTTTTTTTAAATTAAAGTTCTCTTATGCAGTTTCTATCCTTCATGTGAAAATTTTTATTTACCAATCAAGGAAAAGTTTCACATGAGGGATAGAAGCTGGATCATAGAATTTTTATCTAAAACAAGAAGTTGCATTGTAGAATTCAAGTAAAAGCATTGTTTGCTAGAATATTCTCTTTGATGCAACTTCAATGGATTAGAAATGTGGCAATAGTTTTTTTCGGACTCCAAATCCTTATTAGTCAAATGAAATTCTAAAATAACTTGGGTATTTTCTATGAAGTTACTTTAAGATAAAAGTCACGTGGTATAGTGACTTGGCTCCCATACAAACTCAAATGTCTCTTTCAAAATTATGGGAGGTAAAGGAACAGCTAAGAAAGTTGAACCAAAAAATGTAAATCTAAAACCAAAAAAAAGGGAACAGGCAAAGGATGCACAATTACTTGAAAAATGGGCTCTGCTGGATGTAGTTGTTTTTGAGACCGAGCAAACTATCTATGCTTGTCCATTGCAATAGCTCTTAAGCATCTGCAACACTGATTTCTCGTGAGCTTGTTTACAACTTCCTTAATTTGCAGGAGTTAGTTCTGGCTCAAATCTTGCTTTTAGATGTTAACATTACATCTGACATTTCTGTTTCACTTTCTCAAAATTTAGGGATGGTCCATCATTAGTAGTTGCATCAGGTCGTGATACTATCTCCATTTCAAGCTCAATAAAACAGTTAGCTCCAGAACATGTTTTCGCTGTCCAGGTTCGACAAAACTAAGCTTTGTCGTATGATAAATCAGCACTTTTTCACCCAATGATGGAATTTCATATTTGGATAGATGAATTCAGAATGCTGCTTCATTATTTTTTCTGAATATGTTTTTCTTGAATATCTAATTTTTTTAGTGCGTCTGACATTACTCTTTTTCTCATTTTTGCTGGGATAGTCCTACAACTTTGAAAAGCTTTCAAGAATTGTGTCAGGTCATGCCAATTGCCAACCATATATAATTGTCACTTTAGTGGTCCTTTTCCTTTTGGGACTCTATTCCTTGATATAGATAATATCTTTTAGACACTTAAAGGTTTAGATTCTTGCTTAACTATTGACCAGATCTCTTGGTTCTTCTGAATCTTTTCTACGCACGTTGGTCATGACAAAGACAGAGGGAAGGAGGGAGGGAGAGCGGCAGGGATCATGTATCGAGTGATCTCCTATATAAATAGTTTTGGCCTTTTCTCGTATTCAGATAAATATAAACTTCTAAAATTAATAATGGAAGGCTTTTCTCCATGCCAATGTTGTTTGAGATTTCCTTCATATTTGTTTTTCCTTCCATTTTAGAAGTTCCAAAGGAGGATTAAAATGAAAGTATGCTAATTCTTGTGTTATGTTTTCAGATTCAACATCCCAGATCACGTCTAAATAGGTTTGACCTAGTGATAACACCTCGTCATGATTATTATCCTTTGACACCGGAGGGACAAAAGCAAATTCCTTGGCTTCTTCGAAGGTTGATAACACCTCGCACATCTCCTGAGAGACATGTGGTATGAAAATTTCTTGAAACCTCTTACTTGCATGAATTGGGAGTTCTTTACTTCTACACTCTGTAGACATCTTCACTGAAAGAATGTTGAGGCAGATCCTGACCGTTGGAGCCCTTCATCAAGCTGATTCTAATGCACTGAAAGATGCAGCTTCCACTTGGCATGATGAGTTAGCACCTTTACTGAGACCTCTGCTTGTGGTTAATGTTGGAGGGCCTACAGGTAATTTGCGTATTAAAGTTTTTTTTTTTTTCCCTTTGATATGCTTTGCTATTTTTGTGTGAAGGGGCGATTGGTGTTTGAGTTAGCAATCCATAATCCTTGTGGAAACATTAAGAAATAAACTAACCAGGTTCTGAATGTGCTTTAGCCACATTGGATTTCATCTGTTAGTGTAGAAATAATTGTGTAAACATATCTTTGGTTTAGCCCTTTAAGTTCTTGGAGTTCATTTGCTCCTCGGTAATTTGAAACCACTTATTGGTGGCGTTCTTCTTATTGTCTTGTTGAGGAAGTTGTAAATTTCCTCCTTTTTTTGGCTCACAAATCTTTCTTTCTAGGTCATTGTAGATATGGTACTGACCTAGCACTGGAGCTAACAGCCTTGCTGCTGAATGTTATTCCAACCTGTGGGAGCATCAGAGTATCTTTTTCTCGTAGAACTCCTTGTAAGGTATATGATTTATCAGTTTCATCTGCCAATTTTCGTTCTGGTGATTGGTTGTTGATATTGTAGTTAACAGGTCTCAGATATCATACGGAAAGAACTTGGAAATCATCCTAAAGTTCACATTTGGAACGGTGAAGGTACAATTTATGCAATGATTTTCTTCCTGTTCTCTGTATAAGACAACTAACTTGTTAATGGACAAATAAGCAGCAAAAGGAAACCATTACAAGAAGTTTGAGCTTGAACTAAACAAAAGGGCGTTCTGATGTCAAATTTGATTATCCCTCAGCAGAATTTGTATAAAGATTCAACAGAAAGAAGGGGATATAATTTGCCATTTAAGGATACACAGGAAAAAAAAGTTTATATGGTTTATTACCCTGTCAGATGTCATTATTTTAAAAAATATGTCAGATGGGCTTCTGTAGTTTTCATTCAAACGAACTGCATAACATTCTTTCTTCTTCCTCTGCCCGCCCAACATAAAAGAAGAGGACCACATGGTCGATCTCTTTTATAGAGGCTTTTGCTTGTCTTTCATCCTACATATAGATGGAAGACAATTGACAGAACAATCTTCCATTGCACTTCGTGTGGTTTGAAATATTAACAAGAAATTATCGTATGGCAACAAGTGCACCCGGCTAACAAGAATATAAAGCAAGAGACGGGATGTTCTGAGATGATATTTTAATCTTTTTCCCTCGAAGATGGGATCTGGCTGATACTGCAACTCTCGCCCAATTCACAGAATTGTTCTCAATAGTGTCTATAGTTGTATTTCCTACTCGTGCCATTGACATGACGTATATAACCTTTTTATATTAAATTTTCAGGTCCAAATCCGCATATGGGGCATTTGGCTTTTGCAGATGCTTTTGTTGTCACTGCTGACTCGGTTAGTATGTTAAGTGAGGCTTGCAGTACAGGGTATGTTGGCCTTTGTTGATCTTGTCAAATACAATGTCCCTTCTGTTCTCCTTTACATGAATATTTCATCTAAAGAGTTTAAGGTTCAGGAAACCTGTTTATGTAATTGGTGCGGAGCAATGCACATGGAAATTCAGAGACTTCCATCGATCCTTGAAGAATCGAGGTGTAGTTCGTCCATTCACTGGAAAAGAAGATGTGAGTAGAGCTGTATTAATTTATATTGCTGAATAAAATAGTACTTCTAGTTTAATTCTACTTCTTTGAGTTTTTGCATGGTTAGAAACCACATACAGATAGATATTGGTTTGCTGGAAGATGACTGTGCAATATCCTTATCTATTCTTATGGCAGTGACTACTATTTAATTTCTACTACTCAGAGCACTATATAGTGCTGAAATACAATTGGAATTGCATAATTTCGAGTGTCTTTGGTAAATATCTTTTCTTGCTGCAACCATACGTGGACTATTAATGCACGTCTTTCATTTGGAAGTCAAGTGAATTCAACAGTTATGGACGGCATTAAGCTCACTGTCACCAGGCCTGCATGAGCATGCCGCCTTGAATCAAAAGTTATTATCGTATTGACCATGTCTTACAACTTGTCCTCTTATTTTATAGATATCTGAAAGTTGGAGCTACAGTCCCCTGAATGATACTGAGGAGGCTGCTGCCCAAGTGATTAAACCACTAGCTGAACGTGGATGGAGATTGCCAGCATAATTTGTTTTCAACTTCAGGAGCGTAAGCCTTGATAGTGACATATTAACAAGTTTTGTTCCCTGAAATACTGTTGCAGGAAAGAAAGGGGGAGGAAGTATATTGATTTACTATCCTCAGGAGAAGTATGTATTCTGCTCGTTTGGCTGTTTGGTTGTTTACTTACAGTTTAAAAGGATTAATGTAGCAGCTTAGGAGGATACCTCTCAGCTTCTTATACTTCCTGAGAAACAAGGGATGAATGGCGTGGGATAGCCACTTTTTAATGTAGTATTTAGTTTTTATCTATTATTTTTAATGCTGAGCAAAAATAGCCACTACTCTATTAACGAAAAGACGTTTTTACCCTTTGTTCATGAGTGTTGTGTAAATATTAAGGACATGTGTCCTTAACTTCATGAGTACTGTGTAAAAATTAAGGACATTTTGTCCTTAATATTTATACAACACTCATGAAGTTAAGGACATCATGTCCTAAAGTTTAACAACAGAAGGTTCAAATACATGACACTTTGTCCTTAATATTTTACACAACACTCAT